CTCTTTTTTTATTTTTTAAATATGGTAACCCTAAGCATGATGGCACTTGGGAGGTCATGCTGGTGAGGGGTGGAGCGATGTGATCTTCAAAATGCTGTCTGTTGTGCATGCTACCAGTTAAAACCATGTCCCATTTAGTCTCCGTACCAGAATAGGTGGTGAGGGTGAGTTATATGGGCCCGTAATGCCCGTGCTTCACCAATATTAAGGAAGGTGGGCCTGGCTCCACCAATGTTTGGGCTTATATTTTCAGAGCCTTCCCGTCCATAGGACAGACCGGAACAACTGCCCCAGGCCCTGTGCTTCAGGGGGACGTGGGGTCCAGGGTGACCTGGTGCCGGCAGCAGTGAGCAACCCAGCCCCAGCCCACCCCTGTCCCCACTCCAACCCTTCCCCCAAGCCCCCGCCCTGGACCCCACGTCCCCCTGAAGCACGAGGCCCCCCAAAGCACAGGGCCTGGGGCGGTTGCCCCAGTCCATCCTATGGACAGGACGGCTCTGCTTGGACCTGTTCTGGGCACCACCAAAAATTTTACAAACCTGGCACCCATGTGTCCAAGACAGAGGACAAACCATAGAAAAACAGCACTGTTCATCTGAATGGCCTGCCTACCCACAGGTGTTCACATGGGTTACCTGTCTGCATCTGAAAGTGGGATTTGTTCTTAAGTTTGCAATGTAAAATAAAACCTGTGATTTGATGTATTTTAAAGTTATGTGAAGGGTGCCTATAGCCTGTGAGTAAGCACCCTTAATGCTTGTATAAATCCAGATAAATAAATACATCATAAAAGCTACTTTGCAAAATCAGCAACCACCTGAAGAATCAAACCAAAGCAAATTCATGCTCCACAGCTCACTTTACTGGGAAACCTAAAAAGCACAATAATAGAGGTAAACAATGTGTGTCCACTTTAATTTTGGAGAGAAAAATATACCTTTTAAATTGGATCAATAAATGTATTATAATACCACTTTTGGGCCAAAATCATCCCTTCAGGCCCTGGCACTTATACAAATAACTATATTTTACATAAGATAGGTCAGGTTGACCTATTTATTGTGATTTGCATTAATATAATACCAAACAAGTAAAGAGTGCTGCAGTGCAAACTATGCTTTTTGTAGGCAATGTCAATCCCCTGCAGGATTTTTTTTTTACCATAAACTTGTCTTTTATGGGATAATGTCCGTGGCAGCACCCTATTCAAGACAATCACCTGGCTTTTGTGGGTGATTAAATGCCAAAGTGAAGCTAAAATAT